TCCACGATGGCTGAAAAAAAGGAGGAGGATGGGGTGGTGGAATAAATCCTGGGCCATAGGGAGGATTAAGGCCTGGCGGAAACCCTCTTGGCGGGGGCAGATGGGGTGGTGGCCGCAGAACAGGTCCATAGGGTCCCCTGGGAGCTCTCTGGCTGTCACTGGGCTGTGGTGATAAAAATCAAACAGAAACACAAAAATAAATTTTTAAATTTGATCACTTAAAGTTCTAACATTAGTATATGTAATTTAAAATCTCATACAGTCATATATTTCATTGAAAAAATAAGTTAGAAGAAAGAGTAGAATATTGTCCTCCCTTCTGGAACTCTAGCACTCAGTAAAAAGTAGCATCGTATGAAATGCAAAAACAAAACAAAACAAAAGACGTTACTTTCAGACCTAAAGGTTTTAGAAGGGATCAAATCACCTTGATTAACTAATGAAAATGGCTACCTTTGGAAGTTGGTTCAAATGGAAGTAAGTGCTCTAGTGTAATGACTAGCATACATTTGGTCTTGCCCAAGATGTCCACAGAGACATTTGGTCCATATCAACCCATGTACCTCATCCCATGTGCTAGGACCACCTAGGCTCCCGAGGTGAGAAGGGTCATTATTGGCAATGCAGCCATAACACAATTATTGAACCAATAAAACATGGTAGTCTTTTTTATGTATTAATCCTGTAAACCAAACGTATAAATAAACATTCTGGGCTGTTTGGACCCAGGGACATTTTCTAAGCATGGATAGTATGGACAGGACTTAATTTCAAAAATCTTTTGGCATGGACCAAATGTTCCTGTGGACACTTTGCACAGGACCAAATACCAGACAAGGCAATAGAACTCCTTGGGGATGTTCTTTCTTACTCCCCATTCCAATAAATCAGTGAGATTCCAGGCTCTGAACCATTAGTTAGTTGTGTTTATTGAGAAACTATTATATATAACACATCTTTTAGGGGCTAAGGAAAACATATTTAAGATATGAACCCCTGCTTATATAAGTCTGAAATCTAATAGAAACCAAAAACCCCCAAACCACAACCCAAACAATACAATAAAAAGTCTGTAGGAAGCAGTGTGATGTGTTACTTAAGACAAAGACACTGAAGTCTGATGGTTAGAACCAACCCTTCCTCTGTAGCAAGCTAGCTGAGGTGTTTACACTCTCTCTGCCATGGTCTCCTCATTTCTGAAATAATTCTAGAAATAGTTCTGATCTTATACAGTGGTTGATAAGATTATGTATAATTTATGCATAGTGCTTAGACATAGTAAATAAAGTAAGGAATCAATATACATTTGAGCTATTTCATACTCTATGATTGCCAGGGTAGCAATTGCCAGTTTGCATATATGACAGCAGTTCAAATTATAATTGACAAATGTGCAAAAAATTCTATATGCAATAGCAATTTGAAGGGAAAGTATATTTTTGACAAAAGAGAGATTAAGAATTGCCCAATAGAAAAGAGAGCATTTAAAATGAGGCTTGATTAATAGAGTAGAAATGGGGAGGGAGGAAATAAAATTAAATGAATTTTATAAGTCAATGAACAGTGTCAGGAAAATAACAATCCTATTCTAGAAGCAGTCAAAACACCAGTTTGAACAGAAGTTTCAGTCACTCTTGCAACATTCAACTTCTTGCCTCTGTGTCTTTCTTCCATATTGACTTAGGCAACATCAAACTTTTAGATCAACTCTAGACAATTTACCTTCTCTGTTTCTACTTGCAGGCTGGTGAACCTTGCAAGAGAATCTCGCCAATCCCTAAATATTAGAAACACTAGAGATGCACAGTGTCTCCCCTCATCTGGCACCTCAGCAGTGCTAATCCATTCTTCCCTATTTCCCCCAAAAGGCTGTCTTCTCAACATCCACACGCCTTCTCCAGCTCTCTTCCCTCCCACTCCCTAGAAAGATGATCTTGCCTTCTATTTCACAAAATTGAGGCTATCACACAGAGGACTTTGCTTTTCTGCCCACACACCTATAAAAGCCACCTATATACAGTTGTCCTCCCTTCCTGTTTACATCCAACTTCTTCACCTGTATTCAGTATGGATCGATCACTTCCTTCCTATGGCCTTCTCTTAATTATCACTTTCCCCTTCAACCTTTTTTTTATTTCTGGCTTTATGGTCTCAGGCTATATCATTTCAATTTACATCTCATATACTAAAGTAGCTCATTGACCACCTAGTGTACCCCTGCACTATCATCACTAGGTTACCCCTTTCCATTCCTAGCCAGATATTGGGGAAGGCTGAACTAGATTTCCTGTTTCTACTTCCTAATATCCAATTTGCTATTTATCCTGGAATCTATTCCCAACACACAACCTCATCTCTTTTTACAAAGATCAGCAATGACTCAACAATGACACGAAGAATTTAGCATAGAATTTGGCCTATTTTGATTGTCAATGAAACTAAAAGTTACTTTTTGTAAACTTCTTAATAATGCTGGGCTAATTTTATGATTATTTTATAAATTATATATTAGGCTTTTACATGCCCTATTGCCTCGGAATGTGCCTCTGTCGCTCAGGAGTTAACAAACGAAAGCTGTGGGCCCAAGGCAGCCTGCCTGGTTTGGTAAATAAAATTTTATTGGGACACAGTCATACTTATTTGTTTATTGTGGCTGCTTTTGTTCTTCCTAGGCTGAGTTGATTGGTTGGATTAAGAGACTTTATGGCCCACAAAGCCTAAAATATTTAGTACCTGACCCTTTTGGAAAAAAGTTTGTTAATCCCTGGCTATTATTTCCAATCTACCCTGTATTCTCAGACAGGTTTTGTACAAGACCATTATACTACTGTCAATGGGCAGCATTAAATAAATATTTATGGGTGCTGTTCAGATATTTAGGAGTTTCTTTTTCTGACAAACATCACCGAATATGGGAAGTGAGGGTGTGTGGGAAGAGACTATATCTAAACCTGATTTCATGCACTAGTATCTTTGCACATCACTCAAAGTAAAATCCCAAGCTAATGGAAGGCTTATGAGACTCTATGCTATCTAACTCTCCTCTATCCCTCTGCCCTCACCTCCTGATCCTGTCTTCCCTTCTGACTCTGTTCGAGGCCTACTTGTTCCTCATGAGAGATATGGCTGCCAATTTTGGCATTTCCTGTTTTGTCTCATTGTCTAGTTTGCTTTTTCACCTCCTTCAAGTCTCTAATTAAATGTCATTTTCTACCTCACTGTCCTATCTAAAATTGCAACATTGTTCTATTCCCCTCTTACCCCTCCTAAGAGTCACCATTCTCTCCTCCTTGTCCTGCATTACACATAAGCTCCATGATGTTAGTAAGGTTTTGTCTACTCTGCTCACTGCCGTTTACCCAACATCTCGAATAGTACATGGTAGACAGCAGGTGTTTAATAAATATTTTGTGGTGAATGAATTACATGAGTTAGTGATAAGCAGAAATTACCCTAACTTGAATTGTCTGCTAATTCCCTCCTTACACAAGGTAAGGAGTGTAAGGCTCTTTCCTTGAAGGTATTTGAGGGGAGCAAATACTTAAGTCCTCATTTTTTCTAATTTTGGTTTTATGACTTCTGCTGACCAGGGCCTTGCAATCAAATGTTAGTCACTGACCAAGATCATCAACATCAGCACCATCTGAGAGCTGGTTAAAAATGTAGACTCCATGCAGGTCTAGTATCTATTTCTACACAATCCTCTCGTGATTTGTGTGCCTATTAGAATTTGTGGAATTTTAGAAATGCCAGCTGGCCTATGTTATTTGAAAACTGCATATAGATTGTTCAGTTCTAATAGGGGTTTGATTCATTTATGCTGATTATCACTTTTTTTTTCTTATACTCTTTCACTTTTTTCTGCTTTTTGTTCTTAAAGATTAGAATTGCCACCCTCACTGCTCTTTTCCAAACAGCTTAGTGGACAGAATGTGCTGCCCTTAGTTATCTTGTGTGCCTAGTAGATATCTCTTGTCAAATATTGACTCTTTGTCTTGAAGCTTAGACTTGGCTGATTATCCATCCCCAAACCATACTTCCAATATCTTATAAAATGGCATGATGAGTGGGTGAGAGTCAGATACCTATTTGATAGTCATACAGTCAACTACACAGAAGCCAATTCAATAACTTGTTTCATTGTTGAGGGTTCACCTCATTTGCTGCTCTGTGCTACATGTATGTGCAGCCCAAGTACCTGTCTGGCCTTCCAGGGTTTTTGCAAAGTTTAATTCTCATGTGAGAAAAATCCATGTATTAAATTCATGTTTTTTAGGACATCCTCTGCTTCTTATATAAATCGGATTCTATAATTTTATAAACTAGAAAATAATTTGTCTTAATTTGCATTAGTCTTGCAGTTCAGACTTCTGGAATAGAAATGTGCCATTAGTTTGTAAGAATTTAAGACTCTTCAAGAATGATGTTTTGTATATGTCTCCTTAGAAGTTGCCTATTATCAGTATGAAACAGAGTTGTAGGAAAGGGAACAAAGATAACATTTTCTCTCTTATTGTCTCTGAAGATTACTCCAGTCAACAATGTTAGATAACATTTTACCTAACTTTGTCAACTTTGCTTGCCTATGGAACTTTCTTTATCTTCTAATCTATTAACGTTCTTAGGAAGTCTGAAGCATAATTTATTAATGTGGTCAGAGGAGTCATATTTGCCACAATGTATGGGGAAATGCTTAAAAAAAAGTGGTTTATTCTAGCATGATAAATTTGATGATTAATTATAACCATTGACTTAAGAGTTTTTCATTTGATTTCAGGTCAATTTATCTTAACATTTTTCTTTATATACCTCATGTAAGTATAACACAATAGGATTAGAAGTTAATTTCAAAAATGTATTTGCATGATCTCAAACATCAGCATGCATAAGAATCTTCTATAAGATAGGTTCCCAGGCCCAAAGCCAGATTTTTTTTTTCTTTCAATAGTTGAATAGGGTCTGAAAATATACATTCTGAATAATTAGATCACATGTTTTTTTTATACAGATTCCCATGAAGTGAAATATTTTTCCATTTTAACATCATATTATAAATTAGAATATAGTGAAAATGAACCACTTGTCCAAGAATATTTACACAGATCTCATTAAATTTACTAGAACAATAATTCTACTTCATTTGCTTATACTCTTGAAAGTTCTTATTAACGTATATTTGTTCACTGTGTAATGTAGACAATTACTAAATAGTTCCTTTTAGGAATTTACTATGAAATGAAGACTTAATCTATGAGGCTCCTGATTTTGAATTCAACACTGGTACTTTTTGTGTCATCCAGTACTGGGCTCAGCACACAGTAGACTGTCAGAAATTATTAAAAATATGATCTCACTTATATGTGGAATCTAATGAACAAAATAAACCCAGAGACAGAGAAGCAGGAGACAGACTGTGGAATCTCAGAGGGAAGGTGGGGGTGGGTGGGCGAGAAGAGATCAACCAAAGAACGTGTATGCATACATGCATAACCCATGGACACAGACAATAGTGTGGTGAAGGCTTAAGGCAGGGAGTGCAGGTGGGCTAGAGGGGTCAATGGGAAAAAAGGGAACATCTGTAATACTTTCAACAATAAAAATTTTAAAAGTGAAACATACTTTGAGCACTCTCTCTCCTCTCTGTCATCCCAGTACCAGCACATACTATGGTAATTGTCATTTCTCTGAGGTTCATATTATTCCATTGATGTTTCTGGCTATGGAACTTATTCCTTCCTTCTTTGCATTATATATTTCGAGTCTACCAAGTGCTTTTCAAAAATTTGAATGAATGTATTTCTAGAGAAGATGACCTTTTTTATTTTCTTTCTTGTTTTTATTTTTCCTTAAGTGAAAAAGTAGAGTGGAGTAAACAATAATGTAGGAATTTACTTCTCAATCAATGAACAGAAACATGTTAACTGTAACCAATGTGTTTTTGGAGATTTAGAAAATTTACAAATATTTTCTTAAAATATATTTTTTCTTGATCTCAGAGAGGAAGGGAGAGGGAGAGAGATAGAAACATCAATGACGAGAGAGAATCATTGATTGGCTGCCTCCTGCATGCCCCGCTCTGGGGATCAAGCCTGCAACCCAGGCATGTGTCCTTGACCAATCGAACCTGCAACACTTTGGTCCATAGGTTGATGCTCTACTGCTGAGCCAAACCGGCCAGGGCTATAAATATTTTTTAACAAAAATGATTATAAAATGATCTGTGAATCTTGTTGTCCTTCTAGAAAATTTATCTTGAACTTTCTATTTTCCCATAGCCTTACAACATTTAGTAAATTTCAGTTATATTTTTCTGATTGATTGTTGTGCTTTTGAAAAAAAAGAAGAGATGTTCCTAGATAAAGAGATAGCTTTCCCAGATTCTACCTGCCTTCTATCCCTTCATACTCAAAATTACTGGCCAGAAAGTCATATGAAAAAAAAGAAAGAAAAAAGAAAGTAGGGCCCGGTGTGTGTGGCTCAGTGTTTGAGTATTCCAGTCAGGGCACATGCCCAGGTTGCAGGCTCTATCACCAGTAGGATGTGTGAAGGAGGCAGCTGATCAATGGTTCTCTCTCATTGATGTTTCTATCTCTCTCCCTCTCCCTTCCTCTTTCTGAAATCAGTAAAAAACATATTTTTAAAAAAGAAAGTAGGAAAAAATCTATACTGATGACATCTTGACACTATATTGTTATATAATGAAGGAGGACATCATCAGTATCAAAATTTCGTTTGAAGTTATAATTAAGAAGAAGTATATTGAAGAGTATTTAGGACTGGGGGGAACTTACCGTGAAACATGCAGTAAGAGCCAACAGGCTGAAGATGAAAGTTAATTCTTTCATTTTTTAAAATTGTTCCTGAAAGGACGAGATTACAAGTGGTTAATGAAATTGATAACGTAATTTTTCTTAATTTAAAATAAAAATTGAGAAAGAATTCTAGTGCATGTTCTATGATATGATCGAGAGAGAGAGAGAGAGAGAGAGAGAGAGAGAGAGAGAGAAAGAGAGAGAGACCCAGCCCTTTAAATATATGTTTGTTTTGGGGAAAGGAAGAAGCATACATGCACAGCAATTTTGTTATATATTTGATATTTTATAACAAAATGATAGGACTTGTATGAAAGGTAACCCCAGATACTTTTTAAAATACCATTTGAAAAGCAAAGCTTTATAGGCAATTCTTGTGGCCTCCAGTAATGACTAATTTGGAGAGATATAACTTATTTGGTTGTACTTTTGATAATATTTGTTAAAATTAGTCAAAATTTATAGACTTCTATAAATTCATTATCTGGATAGAGCCAATGTGAACGGACTTTTATAAAGCCTAATTTCTTAATACAATTTATTTTTAAAAACAAAAAAATGTAATTCCTGTTAGATTTATCTGAAGCGGAAATAATTGCAACATGTATCTTTCCTTTAACATCAATCTACTAAGGTACTCTTACTCTGATCTTTTTTCCCATTTGATTCCCCAAAGCAAATTATTATCTATCATTGACTAAATTAAGAAAAAGAGTTTTTGTCCTTAATTTGATTTATTTTTCAGCAATATATAACTTGTGCTCTGGGCAGCTAAATTCAAGCACCCTCATGCTGACAGATTGCCGTGGGGTCAAAGTGGTGTCTATCATCTGTACCAGCTTTGAAAATGACATAGAAAGAGAGGTCCACAGATCCCACAGTGGTATGGTCATGAGGCCACCCACTTGAAAGTGCTTTTTAAATAGGCTCTCTCTGTAGACAGTTTAAAAACACATAAAATACCCGCCTCAAAAACAGCAGAAATGCATATTATTTTTATGTCTTTTAGACTCTTCTACTCATGATTGGCTTTAGAGACTATTAACATATATCAGCAGAAAAGAGTCAACAAATTATGAAACTGGATGTAAATTTTACAACCATTCAGTATGATTGTTCTTCATGACTTACTCTTTCAAAAATGTTAAAGATTAGGTGAGAATGTTTAAGTTTTATTCACTTAGGTGAGAATGTTTAAGTTTATTCACAAAATTCAATTGTAAAAGAGTGTGTTGTCAATTACAGTCACTGTGTTACACTGTAGATCCCAAGACTTATTATAACTGGGAAGATTTGTACTTTTTACCAACTTCTCTCTATATCCCCAACCACAGCCTCTGGCAACCACTTTTCTACCCTCTGTTTCTATGAGTTTGACTTTTTTTTTTTTTAGATTCTTTTTTCATGCAATATTTGTCTTTCCACCCCCCGGCTTAATTCTACTTAGCAAAATGCTCTTCAGGTTTCTCTACGTTTTTTTTCTTTTTAAAGGCTGAATAATATTCCAATATTGTTTATCACATGTGAGAATAAAAGCTTGAGAACCCAAGCAAAAATTCAAACTTCAAAGTAAAAATACTTACATCTACATTTCTAATACGTACCTGGACTGGAGTTTCTTCTCTGGAGCAACCAAACTTGCTTAATTTTACTTTTGCCAGGCAGTCGGTTTACACAGCCACAGTCTGCAAATTCAAGGAGAAAAAGGACTTCTACAGAAAATCTGGCTTTTAAATACCTTTGTCTGGATTTTTATTGGAGTTAAGAGGAAGGTTGAGGGAAGATAATCTGGGTTGATTTTCTTTACTGAAACAAAGAAATGATAGTTACAGTTGCCAGTTTGGCAACTTCATCCACAGAACTGTGATCCAATCACTGTCTACCAGGCCTTGGGAAAGCATACAGAATGGTCTAAGGCAGTAGTTTCCCAACTTGACTGCACATTAAAATAACCTGGGCAGCTTTCACAATCCATGGGGCAGGAAGACAGGCAAAAGTATTTTAAAACTGCCTTGTAGTGTTCACAAAACAAAGTCTTGATTGAGAACCACTGCTGTAAATTAGTGTGATTCTAGTTTCCCCATGTCTAGGCATATGTATTGGAGCTGATATGTGTACTGTAAGAGTTAGTTTATTTGGCAAGGTGGATTTTGAAAAATGGGAAAAGGAGGAAGTTAAAATAAATGCCATGTCTCAATTTTGGAAGTAAGAAAAAAGATCTTGTGGTGGGAAGGGCAGAGTTAGTAAACAGTCTTTATAGTTTTTTAATCTTAATTTGATATTTCCTCCTAGGTGGAATTTTATTTAACATTAGATGTAATTTTATTTAAAGGTACTGTAAACAAGCTTTTGAGCTAATTAAAATATCAAACATAGAAATTGCTTAAGGAATGTTCCTGTAGCTAATGAATAGCTATTAAAGTGTAAGAAAATACTCTAAGATATATTAGGTTCTGTAAGTATGTGGTGTTATCTTTATTATCATAACAATATGAATGGGTACAATATATTCTAGACTAGCAAAGATGCAAGGTGTGGAAAATTACATAAACTATTTTTAACTTGTGGCAAATGGATATAGTATAACAGATAATTTTATATTTACAATGAATCTGGCTACTGAGAGATTTACTCATATGTGATCAATGTATTCAGTTGAGAAAAATTATCCTATGCTAGGATAATTTTTTGAGTCTTTACCATGTCCTAACTATGTGATAATCATTTCATGTGGATTAGATCATTATCATTTAATCATCACAATCAATCTTTGCAATTTATGTTACTATTATCAGATTACTGGTTAAAAATGAATCATAGGGAAGTCAATTAACTTTATGTTTGTACAAGTATTTAAGATAGGGTTGACCTTAAATTTGACAGATTTAAGAGCTTGAGTTTTTTTCCACTGTGTTATTTTATTCCCCAAATTTAATTGTTTTTCAATAGCTTAACTAATTAGCATACTTTTGAAATTATAGCACTCACTGAAGTGTGCATGAAACCCCTTAGTAATTTATCATATCAATCTAGAGCAGTGGTTCTCAACCTTCCTAATGCCACGACCCTTTAATACAGTTCCTCATGTTGTGGTGACCCACAACCATAAAATTATTTTCTACGCTACTTCATAACTGTAATTTTCCTACTGTTATGAATCGTAATGTAAATATCTGATATGCAGGATGTATTTTCATTGTTACAAATTGAACATAATTAAAGCATAGTGATTAATCACAAAAACAATATGTAATTATATATGTGTTTTCTGATGGTCTTAGGCGACCCCTGTGAAAGGGTCGTTTGACCCCCAAAGGGGTCGTGACCCACAGGTTGAGAACCGCTGATCTAGAGGGTTGCAAACATTAAAGAATGGCAGGAGAAGAATCAGAAAGAAAATATCAGATTGCAGTACATGTAAGTATTTTTCAAGAAATATTTTATGGTTGTACCTGTGGGTGTTTATGGGGTTATGTAAATTATGTCTTTGAGTTGCAGTCAGAAAAGTATGAAAGCCTTTGTCATAGTTTAGTGGTGTATGTGGGATGAAGTCAAGTAGCCTGGCTGGAATCCCAACTCCCTTCCGCGTTTAGCTGTATGCTGTATGGACAACTACTTAATCACATGTGCCAACATTGTCATCCACAAAATAAGATAGTATTAATTCTATGTGATAGAATTGTTATGACGATTAAATGAAATGGCATATATAAAATATGATCCATGTGTTTATTAATTGTTAGTCAAAATTTTAATAGGACTTTCTTTCTTACCTCAGTTAATTTTTTTAAAAAATATATTTTATTGATTTTTTACAGAGAGGAAGGGATAGAGATAGAGAGTCAGAAACATCGATCAGCTGCCTCCCGCACATCTCCTACTGGGGATGTGCCCACAACCCAGGTACATGCTCTTGACCAGAATCGAACCTGGGACCTTTCTGTCTGCAGGCTGACGCTCTATCCACTGAGCCAAACCGGTTTCGGCAGTTAATTTTTAAAATACCCTGATATGATAGTTTTCTGGTAATTGGGGTATGATGCATATTTAAATTTTAAAGGTGATTTAAAAGGTTTTGGTGATGATGGGGGCATTGAGTTGAAGTTGCTCTTAAACTACCAAGTTTTCTTGTCATATCTTTGGCTCATGATTTCATGTAGTTGACAAGTAGAAATCATACACAATAGATTAATTTATTTCTTAATTGGCCATCTGTATGTTCTCTTTCAAGAAATGTCTGCTCAGGTCCTCTGCCCACTTTTAAAATGGATTGTTTACTTTTTTGAGTTGTGTGAGCTCCTTATCTATTTTGGATATTAACTCTTATGTATGTCCCCCAAATTTTGATATGTCATATTGTCTTTCTCATTTTTACTATGTTTCTTTTGATTTCTTCTTTTATTTCTACATTGAGCCAGTTGTTATTTAGTAGCATGTTGTTTAATCTACATATACTTGTGGTTTTTCCAGCTTCTCTTTTGCAGTTGATTTTTAATTTCAAAGCATTGTGTTTGGAGAATATGCTTGTTATGATTTTAATCTTCCTTAATTTGAGGAGGCAAGTTTTGTGTCACAAGTCTATCACTTCAATACATGCATACAGAGAGAACCAGTATTTCATGTTACCTTCCAAATCTAACTAATCTCCATAAACGTAACTAACATTATATGTTACATAGTATGCTGCAGAAATTAGTCAAGTGAATTTATAGTCAGGTCATTTTACTTCAAAGTTTAATACCAACATTTATTTTCTGGGTAATAACAGACAAGTTATTTTAACTCATTGTGCCTCAATATCTTCATTGAAAAATGTGGACATTTATAATTTCAATGTCATAAAATTTAGCTATTCCATCATTAATTCATTAATTAATTCATTCAATATTTATTTAATGTTGATGTCAGACATGATGCTAGTTGTAAAATTCCAGAATATTTACAATGTTAGGGTTTTAAAAATACTGTAGTGGTCACAGGTAGTATAGGAACAAAGCCACATTTTGAGAGTTGATCTTAGTTTTAAATTACTGAACCTAATATAATTTGATTTCAATTGCATTTTGTTGCCTTAAAAAATTCTGATGACATAATCAACAGTAATAAACTATGTGACTGGTTTGCTTTCCTTAGGTCCTAATCAGTTAGTAAGCAAGTGCATGTCCAAACAGTAAAGATAATAATATTTCTAAGTTAACATGAAAAGTTCAATAAGCCACTTTCTTTTCTGACAGTAATTCAGGTGTCAAAAGAGGAGTATTTCTTCTTTCTTGTTTTGATGCCAATATATTTTTTCAGCCAAGTGTTTTAAATCCAGGAACCATCTATATTGTAATGGATCATTGGCTCTGAAGGACTTAAGATGAACATTGGCAAAACTAGAAGATAATTTGAGTGACTTGAGACTAACAAAGGATTAGAGCAATGTAAGCCACCGGAAGCATCTAAAGAGCAATATAAATGAACAAACAAATCAGAAACAGACTCATGTATACAAAGACAGACTGATAGTTGCCAGAGGGAGTGGGTGTTGGAGGACTGGGTGAAAAAGGTGAAGGCATTCAGAAGTACAAATTGGGAATTAGAAAAAAAGTCATGGTGTTGGAAAGGACAGCATGGAGAATATAGTCAATAATATTGTAATAACTATGAATGGTGCCAGATGGGTATATGAATTATTGGGGAAATCACTTTGTAAATATGTCCAACCACTATGCTGTATACCTGAAAATTATACAAAGTAATATTGAATATAAACTATACTTGAAAAAAATTAAAAATTATAAAGGAAAAAAACAGTAACTCACATTAATCTTTGTTTTTTTTTAAAATCTTTATTGTTCAGATTATTACATTTGTTCCTCTTTTTTCCCCCCATAACTCCCCTCCTTCCAGCTCCCACCCCACCCTCCACCCTCACTCCCCACCCACTGTGTTCATCCATAGGTGCATGATTTTTGTCCAGTCACTTCCCGCATCTCCCACACCCCTTTTCCCCCCAAGAATAGTCAGTCTATTCCCTTTCTATGTCCCTGATTCTATTATAATCACCAGTTCATTCTGTACATCAGGTTATTTATTCACTTGATTCTTAGATTCATTTGTTGATAGATGCATGTTTGTTGTTCATAATTTGTATCTTTACCTTTTTCTTCTTCTTCCTCTTCTTAAAGGATACCTTTCAGCATTTCATATAATACTGGTTTGGTGGTGATGAACTCCTTTAGCTTTTCCTTATCTGTGAAGCTCTTTATCTGACCTTCAATTCTGAATGATAGCTTTGCTGGATAAAGTAATCTTGGTTGTAGGTTCTTGGCATTCAGCACTTTGAATATTTCTTGCCATTCCCTTCTGGCCTGCAAAGTTTCTGTTGAGAAATCAGCTGACAGTCGTATGGGTATTCCCTTGTAGGTAATTGAGCCTCTTTCTCTTGCTGCTTTTAAGATTTTCTCTTTGTCTTTTGCTCTTGGCATTTTAATGATGATGTGTCTTGGTGTGGTCCTCTTTGGATTCCTTTTGTTTGGGGTTCTCTGCGCTTCTTGGACCTGTAAGTCCATTTCTTTCTCCAGATGGGGGAAGTTTTCTGCCATTATTTCTTGAAATAGGTTTTCAATATCTTGCTGTCTCTCATCTTCTGGCACTCCAATAATTCTGATGTTGGTACGTTTGAAGCTGTCCCAGAGGCTCCTTACACTATCTTCACACTTTCGGATTCTTTTTTCATTTTGCTTTTCCAATTGGGTGTTTTTTGTCGAATCTTTGGTTTGATTCTTGTGCTCCTCTGGTCTGCTATTGGGTATAATA